TTCATCTGCTAGTTTTTTCATATTGTTGCAATTCTCCAAAAATTTTTCCAATATATTTATTGAAAAATTCCCCACATATAAGTGGACCACACAGTTCAAACTTTTGTTGTTCAAGGGTCAACTTAAATAAAAATTAAATTATGGAATTTTTGGAATTCCAGCTATTCACATTTGGAAATGCACAGTGGGAGCTTTTGCTGTACTGCCATATGTAGCAGCCAGACTTTTCTTACTAAGAACCCTCAGTAGATGCTAATTTCCTCATTTTAGTTTATCAGAACAAAATCTTAGTAACCCATAATAGGTGAAAAAATAAAATCTAGAGAATTGTGAATCACTTGTCTTTAGGAAATGAATCAAGAGTTGTAGGATGCTCTCTCAGGATTAGGAAGACTTGAGTTTTCATCACTGAGTAAGGAATTTGCTGAATGTTATTCTGCGTGCCAGAGGTATGAATGTTTAACCCTCTGAAGGATTATTTGCATTTTAAACTTAATAACATAAGTGAATGCTATTGGACTCTATTTTTAGTTGTTTTGTTGTTGTTGTTTTTAAAGAGAATCCCACTCTGTCACCCAGGCTAGAGAGCAGTGGTGAGATTATAGTGCACTGTAGCCTCAAACTCTTGAGCCCAAGTGACCCTTCTACCTCAGCCTCCTGAGTAGCTGGGGCGAATGGCCAGTGCCACCACATCTGGCTAATAAAAGAATTTTGTAAAGATGGGTTTTGCTGTGTTGTCCATGCTGTCCTTGAACTCCTCTAGCCTCAGCCTCCCAAAGTGCTGGGATCATAGGCGTCAGCCACTGCTCTCTGACTTTTGTTTCCAATGTCTTTTAACTGGATAGGAGACTAATATTTGAGTACCTACAGAGGTCTTTTGATTGCCTGCAAACAGTTTGAGCTTATCATGTTTGACTTTTGTCAGTTAGGAGCTAAACTGCAAGAAGCATGGTTTGATGACATAGTAACATTTTGGGTTCACATCTCTGCTCCTTGATTTTCTAGATGTCTAATAACTGATATGGGAAAGTTGTTTAACCTTTGAGTTTTATTTCTTCCATATGTAAAGTGAGGAACCATAAACCTTCAAGAAATGTGGATTTAAATGAAATGATATTTATAAAGTACTTTGAATAATGTCTGGCCTATAAGTGATTGATAGGAAATAAACATGAGTTTCTTTTCTCTATATTCACTTCCATTTTACTGATGAGAGTAGTAATTAAGGGTTGGGAAGAAAAGTGGCTTGCCTGGCTAAAAGTCCAGTGAAGTTCTCTCCAATTCACAAATTAGATGCTTCTAATTGGAAGCCTTATTGTTCCTAATAATCTATTGTAGGAGCTCTCACCTCATCCCTCTTCTTTTCTAGATTGTTGGGTTTGGCATCAACCTCCAGTTCTTCCTTCATTTTGCAAAGTGTTCCATAGGGAATAAAAAACAGTTATTGATCAGTATAGTCATTCAAAAGAACATTTTTTTTTCTACTTGGAGACGGAGTCTCGCTCTGTCGCCCAGGCTGGAATGCATGGGTATGGGTAGGTTACCATAATCTTAAGTAATCTCGGCTCACTGCAACCTCTGCCTTGTGGGTTCAAGTGATTTTGCTGTCTCAGCCTCCTGAGTAGCTGGGATTACAGGTGCATGCCACCACGCCTGGCTAATTTTTTTGTGTTTTAGTAGAAACGGGGTTTCACCATGTTGCCCAGGCTGGTTGTGAACTCCTGAGCTCAGGCAGTCCACCCACCTTGGCCTCCCAAAGTATTAAGATTACAGGTGTGAGCTACCATGCCCAGCCCAAAAGAACTCTTTAGAGGATGCCCTGCTTGGAATAAGGTCGACCTACTGAACTGAAATAGTATGTTTTTACATGTATATAATATTTTCATTTAAAAATTATTGTTCTTTATTTGGCAGGTTGACGAGATTAGAGAGATGGTTGATAATGATTTAGGTTTTCAGCAGGCTCCATTAATGTGCTATTCCAGAACTAAAACACTTCTCTTCATTTCTAATGACAAAAAAGTAGTTGGCTGCCTAATTGCGGAACATATCCAGTGGGTAAGTGATTTCTAAAGAGTGTTCTTAAGTAATTTGGTGTTTAATGAGTTTATAGTGTAATCTCGAGTAACATAATCCTGATAAATTTGTCTCCGTTTTATGCAAGGAAGAGTAGTTTTTTTGAGATGGTATTTTACTCTCCTTGCCCAGACGAGGGCAATGGTGTGATCTCAGCTCACCACAACCTCTGCCTCCTGGGGTCAAGTGATTCTCCTGCCTTAGCCTCCCGAGTAGCTGGGATTATAGGCATATGCCACCATGCCTGGCTAATTTTGCATTTTTAGTAGAAATGGGGTTTCATCATGTTGGCCAGGCTTCTCTTGAATTCCTGACTTCAGGTGATCTGCTCATCTTGACCTCTCAAAGTGCTGGGATTACAGGTGTGAGCCACTGCGTCTGGCCTTAAGGAAGAGTTTTAATGCAAGAATTCCCATGTGTGAGCCTTTACCAAAATGGAAGGGTTATGCATGGGAATTAGTTTCTCAAGAATTCTAAAAATTCTGTAGAATCAGAATACCATCAGGCCGGGCACAGTGGCTTACACCTGTAATCCCAGCACTTTGGGAGGCCGAAGTGGGCGGATCATGAGGTCAGGAGTTTGAGACAAGCCTGGCCAACATGGTGAAACCCCGTCTCTACTAAAAATACAAAAATTAGCTGGGTGTGGTGATATGTGCCTATAATCCCAGCTACTCAGGAGGCTGAGGCAGGGGAATTGCTTGAACCCGGGAGGTAGAGACTGTAGTGAACTGAGATCATGCCACTGCACTCTAGCCTGGACAACAGAGCAAGATTCTGTCTCAAAAAATAGGAAAGGAAAGGAAAAGAAAGGCCTACACTTGGAATAGGTTACAACTTCTTTTGTTGAACTCCATATGAGTAGTTGTCTTGTGTGTAGGAGCCAATTTGTACAAAAAGCCAACAATGGAATCATATATGTTTACATTATGAGTGTTAGTAGAAACTGAGACCATCCTAAGAGAACAGAAACTTCTGGACTCCCTAATAATGCTCACTTTGAGGCAGACTGGAATTCTGTCTTTTTTCAGCTAAGTTCTTGCTCATGAATTCAGTGTACATTGTGTGTGACCACTGTTCAGATGGTGTCTTTTAGCATATTAACTCATGCCAAATGTTGCAACAATTTTTTGATTTTTTGTGTGAGTGAAAAATTAGACCTTGGCAATGACCTTGAGCAGTAGGATATAAATAACTTGCGTATGCTTAGCATTTCAATAATGGAATGCTAGGCATAAGTGGGTTAATAGCTGTTTGCGCAAATGTATGCATCATCATAAAATTTTCTAATACGCCGGGTAGGGTGGCTCATGCCTATAATCCTAGCACTTTGGGTGGCCAAGGCCGGCAGATCACCTGAGGTTGGGAGTTCGAGACCAGCCTGACCAACATGGAGAAACCCCATTTTTACAAAAAATAAAAAATTAGCCTGGCATGGTGGCACATGCCTTTAATCCCAGCTACTTGGGAGGCTAAGGCAGGAGAATTGCTTGAACCCAGGAGGCAGAGGTTGTAGTGAGCCAAGATCGTGCCACTGCACTCCAGCCTGGGAGACAGAGCAAGGCGCTGTCCATTAAAAAAAAAAAAAAAAAAAAAGTAATAAATGACTAAATAAATATTCAGCCTGAAATTATATAGTTCTTAAGAACCTTGCTATAATAACAAAATTGATTTAAATAAGTAACTGATAGGATAGTTGGGGGATATTAATTTGATATAAATTGACTAACGCATAGAAGTTTGCCATACTGAAATTGAGTTAATTTTACATAGTGCATACTATTGTGTTTTTAACTTTCTATTCCACTTAGTTCCATAAATGACTTATAGCGGTGTTTAGACTAGAAGAATAACAATGTGATGTTTGTTAGGGTTGTTTTTGCTAACTCTTAATTGTGCTGTCTGTTTGCTTTTAAGTTTTATACCTTGTCCCATCAGAAGGCTAGTCATGGCTGGGCATGATGGCTCACACCTATAATCCAGGAGTTCAAGACCAGCCTGGTCAACATGGTGAAACCACATCTCTATTAAAAATAAAAAAAATTAGCCAGGCATGGTGGCACATGCCTGTAGTCACAGCTACTCTGGAGGGTGAGGCAGGAGAATCTCTTGAACCCAGGAGGAAGAGGCTGCAGTGAGCCGAGATCACACCACCATACTCCAGCCTGGGTGACCGAAGGGTTCCCGTCTTCAGGAAAAAAAAAAAGACTAGTTGTGTTCTTTTCTGGCAGCTAGACTTGCAGAGATATTTTTTCTTTTCTTTCCTCATAAAGACAACCACCATAAAAGACATGTATGTTTTTTAAGGTACTTTTTCTGCCCCTCCCCATAAGCCATGGATATTTTATTCCAGCTCTAGGAAATAGGGGAAAAAAAAAAAGTAAAACAGAGGGAAACAAATCTTTCACATACACCATTATGATTTAACTGACATTAATTTGGGAACACTAGAGCAGAAATATGTTTATACATAGAAATATGTATTTCTTTATACATATATATATATATATATATATGTATGCATTTTCAGATTTTAGTCTCACTGGAGTTCATGTCTTCTTCTTCTTTTTTTTTTTTTTAATAAATGCCCTTAAAGGTCATCAAATGCAAGCTAATACCTCTTATGTCTCCTGATCACTCATTTACTGTTGTTTGCATTGCATTCACAGTTTGTGTGTTAACCACTTAGATAATTTATCAAACTGCACATTTGGAGATGTAAGAGAAAAACCTGGTTTAAGTAATATTCTATGTATCAGTTACCCTTACATGAGTTTTTTTCATCATTATTTGCAACTTCACACATCTTGTCGTTTTCTATGTAGTCTCTCTATGCAGTCTACTTCAGCTTCTAGTGCTGTACATATCTGTATCTTCTGGGTGGGACTACCTGTGATCCATGAGCTTAGGGTCAAGCATAAACCACCTGAGGTGGATTCTAATTTGGTCTTTGCTTTAGAGCTGAATTCTGTTGGCAAGGGCACTGAATGTTTCAAGATGTGAGTTGTTTTTCAGGTACTTCTATTTCGGCAGAGGCTCCTAGCTTAGTTTTTTCTTTAGGTTTAGGAAGTGGCTTTATTTTGCTACTTTTTGTCTACAGTGATTTAGCTGCTCCAAAAATTTGCGGGCTTGTAGCACATACCTTTTTCCCTGTTACCTTAGCAGTTATTACTGACTGAACTGGGTAGCAAACAGTTGCTCCTGAAGTGGCAAGTCCCAGAAGATAAGTAATTTTCTTTTCTTTCTTTCTTTTTCTTTTTTGAGCGTGCCATTGTCCTGGAAGTGGGGCTTAGGAACGTGATAAGTAATTTTCTTAAACTTAAAACCAAGCCCACAAATCCTGAAACTGTAATAACTCCCATTTTTGGAAGAAAATCTTGAGGATTCTTCAGTAGACATAAGCATCCTTTCCAAATTGTACTGTATGCATTATCTAATTTTTCACAAAGACATAAATACCCTTGCACCAGCCAATATAATGACCAGTTGCAGTGCAGATGGAAGCAAAGCCCATTTGTAAATGACCAAGCTGCTCTTCAACATACTTAGACTGGAGCGGTGGTGCAGTATAGATGGGGAGCTGCTCTGTTTTCACTGGCTGCCTTTTGGATTCTTCTTCTTTGGCTGCATGTACACTTACAGATGCATATATCAAACCTGTAGGCATGGTTGTTAGTTTTCCCGTCCTGCCGTGTCTACGACCCTTTCAGCCAAGGTTTTCAGACCTTAAGGGACTTCTTTAAAAAAACAGATGGCAGGCCAGGTGCAGTGTAATGCCAGCACTTTGAGAGGCCAAGGTGGGCAGATCATGAGGTCAAGAGATCGAGACCATTCCGGCCAACATGGTGAAAAACCTGTCTCTACTAAAAAATATAAAAATTAGCTGGGTGTGGTGGCGCGTGCCTGTAGTCCCAGCCACTTGGGAGGCTGAGGCAGGAGAATTGCTTCAACCTGAGAGGTGGAGGTTGCAGTGAGCCGAGATTGCTCCACTACACTCCAGCCTGGTGCCTGGTGACAGAGCGAGACTCTGTCTCAAAAAAAAAAGAACAAAAAAGAGATTGCAGTCTGATGAAAGGCTTTCTAAATTATTAATTTTTCTACTATTCCTATTCCCAATTCTTGTACAACTGTGAACCCTAGAACTGTGACAGCAATCACAGAAACAGTTATTATTATTGCTTTGTTCTTAACATGTACTTCTACTGGTTCTTGGAGTGCAGGAAGTGGAGAGACCTAATGTTCACTTCCTATTGGGGGGCTCCTCATGATGAGAAGGGACTTTGTATGTATTACTTGGTTTAATCTCTCAAAATGAGCGATGAGGGATATTGCCAGTGAGGAACCCAAAGATTAGAGAAATTGTGACCTACTTTCATGGTCATAAAACTAGTATGTGAACTGGAATAGAATGCAGATCCAGGTTGTCTGTTTACTAAAAATGACAGTGAAAGCATAAGTGGCCAAATAGTTGGTTAAGCCAGTCAAATGTCATAACCTCCTCAGTAAGATCAGTATCAGACAGTTGCTAATTAATAATCTCACTCAAAAATTTTCCTCTCATTTTTGACACCTGTAGGGCTACAGAGTTATAGAAGAGAAACTTCCAGTTATCAGGTCAGAAGAAGAAAAAGTCAGATTTGAAAGGCAAAAAGCGTGGTGCTGCTCAACATTACCAGAGCCTGCAATCTGTGGGATCAGTCGAATATGGGTATTCAGCATGATGCGTCGGAAGAAAATTGCTTCTCGCATGATTGAATGCCTAAGGTAACTTGAATGTAATCCTTCATATCATTTTTAGTATAGGACTTAAGCAGACTTTTAGTATAGATTGGCATTTAATTAACATGTGTATAACCTTTATTTGTTTCAGTTATTTTGCCTGAGATTATTAGTGTATTGGATCTGTAAGTACTTTTTATGTGAATTTAAGGTGAGGAGGAAGAAAGCACTGTAGGTTAAATACTATTAATTTTAAGCCGTTTTGACTTACTTATTTGTAACTATAATATTAGGCCAGAATAACCTACTTATTTCAAGTTGTGCTTCATGTTGAAGAATTTTAAACATAAGCAAAGAAATGTGAAAAGTTTCTTGGGAGTTCAGCTTTTAGAGAAATTTATCTTAATTCAAGAATATTATTTGTAAACTATTGAATCTCTTACTAGAAAGATATTAAAGGGAGACTCAGAAAAATTATTTTGTTTTTTGTCCTATAAAGTGCCTCTGATAAAAGATTAATGAAGGAGGTTAAAATTAATCATTCAAAAGAGGTTTTTAGGTCA